GCTCCCGGTAGCCCCCCAGCAGGAAACAGAGCTGTTGGACCCACATCACTTCTGAAAAGTCACGTTAGTCTGGTCTCAAAGCCAAACCTGAGACCTCTCTTTTCTTCCCCATAAATCTTGGCTTGCAGAGTCCTACCTGTGCAGCTTTTGTCTCGGACTGTGAAGCTGCCCCATGCCCAAACCAGATCATTTTACGGTGAGGATTTTAAGCCTGGTTTAGCGATTTCCATGAGCTGCCCCAGTTGCCTGTGACTGCCCTGTCCTTGCAAGCCGGTGGGGTCTGATCGGGGCAAGGGAGCCCTGCAGCCACAGATGTGGTTTTGGAAGGCAGCCCCGTGGAGATGCCTTTCTAACCCCTCCCGGGTCCTTTGGCTCGTGCTTGGAAAGGGACGACATGAGAGGAGAAAGGCAGAAGGTGTGGGATTCACACGCCAGCCCGGATCGGACCCAACGTTGGCCTCCCACGGTCAGCACAGGCACCCTGGCACCCCATGGAAATAGTGGCAAGGACTAAAACCTCACCAGCACTTGCTGCTTGACAGGGGCATTTACTGAAGTAGTTTTGTTTGCTTGAAAACCTTGTCCCAAATTTGTTTTCACTTAAATTGAAACCTAAGACAAAAAAGAGAGACATTGACTGCGCTCCCTGCAGAATTGCATCTCGCTAGGTGAAATGACCTAAGAGAACAGTGCAAAAGTTTTGGAAATATGACTTAAATCCTCAGTTTCCCAACATGAAGCTGGCTTGAGTTCGGGGTGCAGATGCCTCCGCGGCCGGCGTGCCCAGGAGTTGCGCTCTGCGCTTGCAAATCCTGCCTGCCGCTGCCCGACACCTTCGTGTGTCCGTTCGGTTCACAGCCCTGTTCGCAGTGCCAGGCTGGTCCCAGCAGGTGGTCTGTGACTGTGAGGGGTCCGGGAGGGGAAGGGGCTCGTCTTGCAGATATTTATATTGTATAGAGCAGCTTATTTCTACAAGAAAAAAAAACCCAACATTTTTAAACTCCAACAAAGTATACAGTAGTTTCAGTTCTGGTTTTTGTGACCTTTTTCAGGGATCATTTCAGTGCATTTCTGTATAAAATAAAAATTTAAGGAAAAAAGGATTTTGAAGTATAAAAAAAAAATGCATCTTCTGTACATAGGCAAACTCAAGAATCTTCTCTTCAAACACTGTTTCTTGTAGAAACATGTTGAAATTTTTTTGCTGATTTCTTTGTACTTCAAGAGCATGTAAATAATTTATTAAAAGTGACTATTGTAATTTGGAGTTCTTTTTAAACAGATTCCAGCTCTAAATCATGGCGAGGAGATGGGGAGGAAGAAGGACTAAGTATAGCAAAGGAGCTGGTGGTGTTTACAGCTTGTGTCAAGCTTTGTATAATGTAAATTCTGTATAAATATGTGGGTTTTTTTTTTTGTCAAATAAATAGATGGAATTAGAAGCATTAAGAAACTGAAGACAAAAAATTGCCAAGTCAAGGCTTCTTCTTTCCCCCCGCCCCTCAGTCTGAAACCTAATGTGCAAAATCTATTTATTTCAAGCGAGGAAATGTGTACAGTCTAATAGACAACCTAAAATGTATTTAAGCGAGTTTGCAACTGGATTTTTTCAATTTAGTATTTGTTTTGTTTTTATGAGTTTCCTCCTTAATTGCCACTGTAGTATTTGGTCCAAGTGAAAAGAAACACATCGTAACGGACACTCTAAAACAAATGGGCAGTTTTAGAAGCAAAACGGAAGAACACCTGGCTCCCAATCCTTGCAGTTTTCTGGTTCTATAAAGAGGTTGTTTTAATTCACAGTGTGAAAATAAAGGGCCTCCTTTAAAAGGAGGCAGGTAAAATGGTTTGCAATAAATGAAAAAGAAAAAAAAAACAACTTATTTTTTTTAAGTTCCTTAAAACAACAACTCTGCTTTGAAGATTTAGGATTTCTGCTTTTTCTTTCGTTAAGCAAATTTATGAATTTAGGGATGTTTTGTGCATATAGAATCTGTCACCAGTATGTATCTTGTTTTGAAGAAAGTGTTTTTGTTGTGGATGTGTCATGCTGTATATATTTGTTCATATTTTTGTGAATTGAATACTATGTACCATTGTATTATAGTAACTTTTATAAAGCAAACCATAAATATACTGACTTTTCTTACAGAAAAATTACGTTGTGCTTAATGTATAGCCAGGGCAGGTTTTTGCTCTCAGACCCGTGTTGGGAACCTTGAGAGCTCAAGGAGCCGGATCCAGAAAAAAGAGCAGTCCAGTGAACTGATTCTCAGCACAGTTTACTGAAAATATTACTTCTGGTGAGCAGGAAATGACTTTAAGTAACTTTATATTGCATGAAAGAAAAATCTATAAACTTAAAGAAAATTTTCTTGGTATTAAAAATCCTTACAAGCCTTAAGAGCTGAAGCACAGCCAGGCACTGCCCCCCTGCCAGGGCAGGTGGGGGGTCCCAGCTCCTGCAGCCTCTGCCTTGGGTTTTTCCGAGTTCACGTGGGTTTTTTTCTCTTTTTTTAACTTTATAGAGGCAAAAGCCCTTAACCTACAAAGCGAGGTGTTAGTGGGGCTAGTTCAGGTGGTGCTGTGAGGCTGTCGGGGCCGTAGGCCCTGTGGTTTCTTTCTTTTAAATCGGTTTATTCCAGTCTGTTGCCTGGGGTTTACAGGAGGGGGGGCAGAGGGAGCCGCTGAGGTTCGGTGCGGATGAAGGCACAGCTTGGAGCCGCCCTCGCTGGGGCTGCTGCTGCTGCGCACGTGGTGGTGGCCAAAGTGGCTTCTCTGAGCTTGTGAAAAAGAGAGAGACCCGGGAGCGGAGATGGATGGGGTGGCTGGTGGAGGAGGAGGAAATGGAAGAGGTGGGAGAGAGCCTGGGCTGCGGGTGACTTCCCAGCTCCGCTCTCGGCTTCTGTAGCTGACAACGGTGGCGGCTGAAGAGATGAAGGTGCAGGACAGCCAAACCTCGTGGGGCAGAAGGCAGCAGGGCTCAGCCTGGAGGGCGGCTGGATGGGGCAGGGGCCTGGGCTGGTGGAAGGACTCGTGTGCAGGGAGCCCTGAGCCAAGGGCTTGGCAGGGGCTTTGGCTGCTCGGGGTTTGAGCAGCTTCGACGGTGGGAAATTTGGGGAGCAGCGGTGGGTGCGCTGGGGCTTTGGAGAGATGTGTGACAGCGGGGAGACCCGCAGGCACCGGCGACCCTGGGATGTTCTTCAGCAGTACTGAGGTCTGAGGCCTCCTCAGGGAGCGTTTGACCTGCAGCCACAGTGAACCCGGGGTAGAGGGGCTCCAGCCCCGACATGTTAACTTACCAGGCACTCAAGCTGCGACAGAAAAGGGTTTTATTGTGTCAGTGGGGAAGGCCCCTGTGCAAAGGATGGTGACAACACCAGCGCGATGCCCGGAGGGGACTTCGCACACACAGCTGGGGTCTGAGCCAAGGAATTGCTGCCAATGCCAGCAATTACTTCTTGAAACATGGGAGAAACCCCAACCTTTCATTAATTCAGGAATTTACAGGTATTAGAGCAAGACTGCGTTGCCTTGGGAAGGCTGAAATATGTAAATTCAATTAAGTCGCATTCCAGAATGTTGTAGCTACCCTAAAACCATGTGTTTAATCTCAGCAAATTCAAATTCAAGATTGAGCCTAAAAGCAATTAAAATAAAATCTTACAAAATGAGACGCACAGAGAGGCAAACGCCTCCGTGCTTTCCTCTCCCATCTTCCTGTGTAGCTAAAATTAACAGAAAACTTCAGATAGTCTAAATTTAAGCACTCCCAGTTGTTTCTTCTGTCTTCCTCTGTAGCTGCGTGTCTTTAGCACATGCCCTAAATCTGCCCTTTGTTAAGAATTCAGTGGTTTGGATCAGATTAAACTGCTTTTTAAGAGTGTGTTTGCTATTTCCCACGCTCCCTCTCCCAAGAAGTCACCATAGTGGGCAGCGCCGGGGCTGGGTCAGGATAGGTGTTGAGTCCTTTTACAACTCCAACTTGGCAGCGGCTTCCCTGGGTTTATGACACTTAAGTCTGGGCTATTTACCAAAACATCGGCCGTTTCCTGGTTTGTTTGTGAATCAGCTCGTTAGGGGCGAGGGCGGCGTTTTCTGCCATCCTCTAGATGCGCTTGGTCTCCCCGTTGGGCTCCAGGATGGTCAGATTTCCTCTTGCATCTTGATCGATTTCTATTGCTTCAAACAGAGATTTGAAGTTCCCAGCACCGAAGCCCTGCGGAGACAAAAACGTTACAGACCCTGGGGACGAGGAAGAACAGCACCGAGAGCTGGCTGGGTGACGGTACTTGATGGTCCTGAGGTCTTGGAGCCACGATCATCGTGAAATTCTCAACCCAACCTGGTGGTTGTGCCGCTGGATGACCTCCAGAAAGACCGTGGGTCTGTCTTGAACTGGTTTGGTGAAGATCTGGAGCAAGTAGCCTTTCTCATCAAAATCCACCAGGATTTTCAGTTCCTGGAGAAAAGAAACAGGGCAACAGCTCGAAGACCTGCAGAGGAGCAGGGGGATCCCTCTTCATCACCCTCATCCATGCAAAACACTTTGGGGAACTGGTCTGGCCTTGGGCAAACCTGTTCCTTCTCAGGCCGGTCTGACTCACCGCCAGCTTGTCGATGTTCTCCTTCACTTTGATTTTGGCAGATTTCAGCCTCTCCCGCAGCATCTGGTAGTAGCTGGACGGCACGTCCATGAACTGCATACCCCGCTGCTTCAGGTTGGTGATCTGCAAGGCAAGGGAGACCCCGGCATGGGTCAAGCTTGGGGCTTGTTTGTGGAATGGTTTGTACCAAGAGGATGGCCCGGGACGGATGGCTTCGGAAGGCAGAGTGATGCTTTCCCATGATATTGGCCAACCTTGTTGCATGGGGACTTGTCCCACCCTCTTCTTCCCCCACCAGGAACAGGAGGGCCCAAGGTGCCCTCTCCAGACAAAGAAGAGAGTTGGCCACTGTGCAAGGATGCTTCATCCCACCCTGACCCCCCCATACCTCTGGAGGCCCTTTGGTCTGGAAAGAAGCCCAAAAACCAAATGCTCAAACAGCAGCTGGGCTCAATGCAGACCAGCGTCTGCCCCAGGCACAGGTGAGTGATGTGTTCTGGTGGCACAGCCCAGCAGCTCGGGCTGCCTGAGCTCCCCACCAGCCACCCCCTCAAGGATGGCACGTGCTGTCGGGGTCCCTGCAAACCCCAGTTGCTTTAAGCTGGAGGGACAGGCATCCGCCAGCAGCTCACAGGTGCAGGCAGGTCCCTTTCCAGTGGCTCGCTGGGCAGTTAATCCTGGTTGTAAGACAATGAGGGCACAAAGCCCGCTTAGCCTGCCTGTGTCCTCATACCCCAATGAGGGTCATGGTCCACCACTGCCCTGTGATGAGCACTGTGCCTGGTGGCCCAGTGTGGAGGTGGAGCAGTGCCAGGACAGGACAGGCTGGGGCAGGAGGCTGCCCAGGGCTGCACTCACCGCCGAGATGATGTCGGAGGTGTTCAGCGCGATGTGCTGGACTCCAGCCCCTCCATAGTAGTCGATATATTCCTACAGGGAAAAAAATGTCACTGCGTTACAGCATGCGAAGGGCTGGGCTTGGGCTTAAAACCATGAAAGCAAAATTGGCTGAGGGACAAAACGAAAAAAAAGACAGTATTGGTGAGATCAAGGGGAAAACGGGTCTGTCAGAGCAGCTCTCCAGGGTTTGACAGTACTTTGCAGACCTGAACAGAGCCAGGGCTGCTTTCCAGCAGCAACTTTGCACAGCATGTCTGCGCTGGCTCTGAATCTCTGACCACTTGGTCCCTTTTCTCTCACCAAAGCCCCACTCGAAGCTGTGGCAGCCCGATGGATCAGCCATCGGCGTGCGCTCACCTGAATCTGGGATTTCTTCTTGCCAGGGGCTGGCTCATTGATGGGCATCTTAATGGTCTCTTCGTAGTTGGTGACCACAATGGAGCGCAGGGCGCTGAACTCAGTGTGCAGCTGCTTGTCGTCCACTGACCAGAAGCGGTGGAAAAGCAGGTTCTTCTGGTACCTGCCCAGGCCACAAAGGTCAAGTTCAAGTCCCTCACTCCATCCCCGCCCTAACAAAGCTCTGCTCTGCCTTAATTAGTCTCAACCATCGATGTCGGAGGGGATGAGACCAGCGGAGCGGTGCTGCTGCTTCACCCCACCTCCTACCAGCCCTCCCCACTCTTACCAGTCTGCCACTGGGACCATCTGGAGGTCAGGCTGGTTCCCCACGACATGGTCAACGAAGTTGAGCTTGGCACTTGGTCTGCAGGGGGAAGCCAGGGGTGGCTCTCAGCGGGCCTTGGGGGCACCCCACGGAGCGGGGGGCTCTGGGGCAAGAAGGTGGACACCTGCCCAGCTCCTCGCTGGGACATCCCCTCAGCACACGGTGGCAGAGCCGGGCAGGACCCTCCACAAAGTACTCACAGCTTTGGCAGCAGGGGGTCCTTGAAGAGGGGCGGGTGGTACCCAGGTAGGAAAAGGCCCTTGTAGTTGAGCTTTTCTATCAAGGTGTGGGTGGTATCACCGTACTGCAACGAGGGGGGAGAGCGGTTGCATGGTGGCCCCATTTTTTTGGGGACCTCCCAGGTCCCGCCTGCTCCTGTGGACCCTGCTTTGGCACAGGGCCTCAACATCTGCAGCTGCCCTGCTGCTTACCGTCTGGATCACGGCGAACTTCACCTTCCCGAATTTGTCCTCCTCCACCCAGGGCTCCTTCACCACCACGGCTCCACGCTCCTTGGCTTTCTGGGCAGAAAGAAAGAGACTCTCTCCTGCTGCAGCTTCCCCCAGGCTGGGGGGAGACATCCCCAGGCCCTTCCCCACCTCCACTCGCCGTTTTGGGGTGCCATGCAGGAGGGAGCAGAGAGGCTGCCTACCTGCACGATGAAGTCGCAGTCCTCCACTTCAAAGGCGATGTCCTTCACCCCATCACCGTGCTTCACCAGGTGCTCCCCCATCTCTGCCCAGAGCAAGAGCAGCCGTAGGCGTGAGCAGAGGTGCTTTGCTCTGCCTCAGCCATTTCCCACTCCACCCCCAGCTACGGCACCTACCCTCATTCCCTGGGTTGAGAGCAGATGAGAGAACAAACACAATCTGGCGAGGAAGAGGAGGAGAGGTGAGGGATGGAGACGTAGCAGTGCGACTGCAGCCCCAGCCTGGGGCAGAGGCACCGCAGATGCAGGTTTTAATGGTACAAACGTGTTTTGGCAGCACCCATGCGCCCGACACCGGCTCGTCTTCCCCCCCGACCTCCACCCTGGCAGTGGCACCTCTGTGAGGTGCATCGGCCCCCTTACCTTGTCCTGCTTGATGGCATGTGAGACCACCTCCCTGCTGCCAGTCTCCAGCCCCCGGTATGCCAGCTCCTCGAACCCCAGCTTGTTGCAGTAGTAGGATGCAGCCTGCGGGCAGGCGAGAGCCGCCCCGGGTGAGACCACGGTACTGGCAGCCCCCTGTTCCCAACAGCAGCACCAACAGCCCGTGGGGAACAGCCACCGCGACGTGTGCAAGTCACGCCTGTGCACGTGTGTGTGCACACAGGGAGCAGCCGAGCTTTTCTGCTTCTCTCCCGCAGCCCGGGAGCGGCGAGCAGAGGTGAGAAAGGGCCCACACTGGGGGAAAACCCCCCAAACTCCTTGGGAAGCGCTGCCTCCAGAGCCCTCCCAGCGCGGCCGGGGGCAGGCAGGGAGCTGCTGCCGAGGGGGAAATGTTTCTGCCTGTCTCCATCTGCCAGGTTGGGCGAAAAGCAGCTCAGGTCTGAGCAGAGGGGGTTTTAATTTGCCAGCAGCCTTTTAGCAGCGAGCGATGGAGAGCAGCTGCCACGATGCCCTACGG